TTAATGTGGGGGGGGGGGGGAATATAAAAAATTTGCCAACTCTGACTTATATCATTGCTACCCAAATCACTGTTTTGTACATTGCACACAAATCAGAGCAAAGTATTTGCATTAGAATTATGCAACTTAATGTGATTTAGAAGACTCAAGCAATATGCAATAATTGCAATTGCATCAATGTATAATTAGCTATTTTTTGCGTTAATTCTCTTCAATACAATTTATCTATTTATTTTTGAAAATGGTTTCCCAGTAGAGGCGTTATAGACAAAACATTAATTTGTAAATCTTCAATCCAAATAAACAAAAACCAACAAAATAGTACGTATTAAAGAACTCAATATCTAGACCGTAGTTCCTGAGTAGGAAGGGCTGTTTAGGACTTTTAGGTTGGGTACAATAGCAATCAGATTGGTATAGTTAACCCTTTAAGTGGCAATGCACCCTGATGCCTACTTTATTATTTTTTGAAGGTTCTTGTGGATGGAAATTATTGAGTGGAAATTTATATACATTTATTAGACCTAACCAGGAACAGTTGCTAAAAATGCAACTTTAGGTCCCTGGCGGGAATTGAACCTGCGGCTCTGCGATTCTGGTGCAGCGCTCTAACCAACTGAGCTACAGAGGCCAGTTGTCGAACTCTAACCACAAGTTCATGTATATATACTAGGGTACTGCCATGTATAGGTTATGGATAAATATCAAGATTTTCGGTTGACATCTCACTCGATTGAATAATAGTTGAAGGGTGTTGTAGATGGAAATTATCGAGCGCTGCACCGGAATCGCATGCCGCAGGTTCGATACTTGGCAGTACCCGAGTATATGCACATGAACTTGTGGTTAGAGCACGACAACCGGCCTCTGTAGCTCAGTTGGTTAGAGCCCAGCACCAGAATCATCGGGCTGCAGGTTCGATTCCTGCCAGGGACCTAAAGTTGCCTTTTTTGCAACTGTTCCTTGTTAGATCTAATAAATGTATATATATTTCCACTCAATAATTTCCATCTACAAGACCCTTCAACTATTATTCAATCGAGTGAGATGCCAACACAATCTTTACTATTTTACTCTGTCTAACGTCAGATTATTGTACTCTACTAACGCTATAGACGATTTTACTCGTCACGGGGAAAGTGCTGCCACTCAGTGGGTTAACAATGCTTATTTCAAATGACAATTATTCACCTGTCGTTTAGTGACATAAACAACAACTCATATATTTCGTATTTTAAGTTTCATGTAATAATAGTAGGACTTCTTGATCTTATATTGGAAGGGTAATACTCACCTTTATTCAATTCTAAATTCTTCATGTGTTTGCAAACAAACTTTCTCGCCGCCCACTCACTTGGAGAAACAATATGTGAACCACCATGAAGATGTACAACAACATTTAGGGCAGTGGTCTCGCAAACGTCTTTAACAATCTCTTCATCATCCACTTCTCTTAAACACGTCATTACAAACACTTCGTTGTAATTAAGTTCAATTTTACCATGAGTAACTTGGAACCTTTCTGCAAACGCGAAAACACAATCCGTGTATTCCCTACGAAAATTCTTGATTTTCTTGCCCAAAAGTCCTGCAAGGAACTGAAGAACTAAATGCCATTTACCACTTCTAATATGATCGAAAATAAACTTCTTTATTTCGAGTGGAGCGAGTGTTTCAGTCACGTGCCTTGCAGCAAGAAATTCTTGTATGGTTAAATGGATAAAACAAAATTGTGTTTGATTTGGGAAAATAGGCTTGGGTAAACTGTTCAATAAACCGGATGTTTTCATTTGCTCATCAAACAATTCTTGATTAAAGACCAGTTGCCCATTCTCCATACCGCCGAATGCTAATCGTTGAAGTTCCTTTAACGCTTCCTCCGTCATAGTAGGGTTTCTGTCTGCATTTCTGTGATGATATTTTTCAAACTGATTGACGGCTGTCTGGTAAAGTTCTGTCAGAGTTGTTGGAGGAGCACCGATATCATTTCTTGGGTCACTAAGACATTCAAACAGGATAACACATACGATGAAACAGTTTACTGGAATATAACACAAGTTCAATAGTTCTGGTGAGGATTTGATATGCCTCCATATCCTTGATTTAAGGTCGCTTCTGTTGTTATTATCACAAAATCGGCTGACATACTCTTCGATTTTATCCTGGGTGAAACCAGTAATCTCCACATTTCGATCAAAATAAAGCCTGGAATAAAAATCATCTGCGGTCAGTCTGCTTGTTACTAGAACCGTTGCTCTTTTCAACAAATTTCCCAACATCAGATTAATGAATAAATTCATTGCAGACATGCAAGTATTAGGGTCATCTGGAATCATCGTGGATTGACCAAAGCAACTTATAGGATTGCCATGGAATTCATCCAAACCATCGAAAATAAGAATGGCTTTTTGTGGCTCTTTTGCAATTTCTTTATAAATACTTTCAAATTTTTCTTCGTTCAGTCTCGTTCCGAGCTGAAGAAATGTCTTAAGAGATAAATTTGTTAATTTTTCATTGTCATTGAACCATCTGAGTTTGAAAAAGAAGGCAATCTTGTCAGAATAATATTCATCAATTTCATTAGCCCAGTCACGGAGAATTTTTTCGGTCAAGACCGTTTTTCCAATTCCAGGCTTTCCAATCGCCAGAATGCTACGAGGAAATTCTCCCTTTGTGTCTTCATTGGGATAAAATAAATCTTTAATGTTTTCTAAACGTATTGAGGTTCGAGGAACTTCCGTATAAACATCGTAGATCTTGTGCCTTTTCATGTCTTTAGAGAACTTGTGTTGAGCTCGTTCGGTGTGAATAACAACGTCAACATACAAATCGTCTACATTAGCGTTTGTTCTTTAGGCTTAGCGCGAGTAGTATCAACAGGTCTACTGGTATTTGGTTTAGCATTGGAATTGCCCATGGTTGTTCGTTCTTTAGGCTTAGCGCGAATAGTATCAACAGGACTACTAGTATTTGGTTTAGCATTGAAATTGCCCCTGGTTCTTTGCTCTTTAGGCTTAGCGCGAGTAGTATCAACAGGACTACTAGTGTTTGGTTTAACATTTAAATTGCTCATGGTTCTTTGTTCTTTAGGCTTAGATCGAGTAGTATCAACAGGTCTACTAGCATTTGGTTTTGAATTGATTTTGCCCATGGTTCTTTCTTCTTTAGGTTTAGCGCGAGTAGTATCAACAGGTCTACTAGTATTTGGTTTAGCACTGGAAT